AGCTCGATAAAGGGTGCCAACAATAATATTGTTGTGATTTGGTTGAATGATTTCGATAAAAATGGACTCACAAATATCAGGATTAAGGTTGAGATCTTTTCGTAAAGAGAATTGAAGGCCATCACGAATATATATGGCTACTCCACCACCATGTTTATGAGTTCTGTGGTTAGCTACAACATTATAATTGGGAAGTTGGACTAGTGGATTATCGTCTTTGAGCCAAGTCTCACTAATTGATATTATGTCAAAAGGAAAATTAAGGGACGTCAGAAACTGTTTAATTTGGTCAATATTTTTTAGAAGACTTCTAGAATTAAAATGTATTGTGGAAAAACTGTTTCTTTTGGTATTATTGACTAAAGACGAGAACTGGCTCGGATAATAATATTCGGAAGTACTGAGTTGGTTATTAAAAATTTGAGAATCGGGGTCAAACTCGGATGTGAATTGATCATGAGACTCTTCAGAGGGGGAAAAAATCTGGTCAGCTAGTCGGTCAGTGTTCGAAGTGTTTACTCTGGGTTGAAAATTTAATTCAGACATAAAACACAGAAAATAAAAGCAAAAACAAAAGATAAACAAAGAACACACACAAAAAAGAAGAAAATAAAAAGCGAAAGGTCAATCAAAGAGGAACGGGAAAAATTAGTCAGTGAAGCGGTCAGTAAGAAAGGCCTTGTTTACTTAAAATGGTCAATGAAACGCAAAACATAGAAGACTCGAAGATTGCATGAAAGACATAGGTTGAAGCACAGTATAAATAGTAAGAATATATGGAATGCTACATGTAATAAGCACAGAGAATCAAACGCATCAAGAAGCATAAAAATAGTGTTATAAATCACATAATAGAGATTATAATAATAAATAAACGTAAACGTAAATAATAAACGTATAAATAATGAAAAGATAGAGATAATTATTAACATCAACAAAATACAAGGTAAGAACATTGTAAATGCCAACATCTTACCACGATGTAAGTAATACAGGTCCTAATAAGCATTAAAACAAAAGCAATAGTAATAGTACAATGTAACAGATCACAATAATAATAATAATAATAATAATAATAATAATAATAATAATAATAATAATAATGACATATAATAGCCGATCAGGCTGTTTACTTCTTCATTAGCAAATTTTGTATAGAAAAAAATATCGCCATCGGAGACGTTCTTTGACAACCTAGTCGGAATATTTTTCAGCAAATGCTGCCGCTACCTTACTTATTTATCCTGCATATCCTAAGTTGGACGCTATAGCATCCCTGATCCACGGAAGGAAGTTCTTTCTGTTGCCCTTATGCTTGTATTAACTTTCATCGTTTATTTGACCGTCCTTTACCACTCTTTCCCTCAATTCTGCCTTCTGTAAAATGTCTTCTCTTGGCAATTGTGATGTTTGATGTGACCAAAGTATTTTAATTTGAGTTTGAGAAAGTGTATTAGCCAGTTTTCATTAGTGCCCAATTGTTCGCTTATCGATTAATTTGATCTGTGTTTCCTCCACGAAACGCCCATTACTCTTTGGTAACACTTCAGCTCAAAACATAATATGTGAAAAGGTGAAGGCTACCATATATTATATGGTAGCCTTCAACTTTTCACTTAGAATCCAGGACTCACATCCATATATAGCTGTAGGGAATAGGCCTATGCACGCTCTTATGATTGCAACTTTTGTATTTAGGTTCTGGCCTTTCCATAAATACGTCACCTTTTTAATTTTGTTCATCCCAATTGCTATACTTTTTTAATTTTGCCAATGTGGCTAGCATCTTCATAATTTGTCAATAAATATTCATATCTGGTTACTATTTCGAGAGGTTCACCATCTATCAAGGTTATCGTATTAAAATCTGGTCTGTCTGTTATGTGTTTTGATAGAATCATTTCATCAGGTTGTTTCTTTACTGGGAAAAGTTGTTAAAGAACTTTTAAGATTTTTTTGTTGTTAGTGGTATCAGTATTAATTTCTTCCAATCGGACGGCCACAGGCCCCTTCTTCCAAATTTTCTGTTGTGGTCTCTGTCTTTCCCTGTAGTAAAAACAGGGAACAGTAATTTCAATGTTCCCCGGTAAAACTAACTTGTCTTTCATTGTCATCGGTCTCAACTTTTTTTGATTCAAAACTCTTTAGTAATATCTTTAGTTATATCTTCCTTGTATGACCTTTCAGAGGGATAGTTCTGTAATTAGAGAATTTTTTAAGATCCCCCTTTTGTTGGTAGTGGTATTAGTATTGGTTTCTTCCAATCGGACTGCCACAGACCCGTTTTTCCAGAGTTTCTTAAAGAGATGATGCCTCTACCTGATGTTTCCTAATGTTCCCTAAAATGTGCGGCGCAAAAATGTTCGATCACTCAATGTTGACCAAAGTCTCAGTGTAATCTACTCTCATCAGTTCAGACAATGGCTCCTATCCCAGTCTCTATCTAATGCCCTTCTCTCATAGCCTAGGCCTACTCCTCGTTTGACCAATCTTTGACGTTACTCATCCATCTTGATTTTGATCTTCCTCTCCTTTCTTCTGTTCTATTTTTTCTCGCAATTCTCTCGCCCTCTCTCTAATCTGTTTTTTATGCATACAAAATTTCATTTTAATTTCTGTTTTTGCCATTATGGCTGATTTACCTTCGTAAAAGCATTATTGCAAGCCTACGTAAAAGCCAAAAAGTATCAGATAGAAATGGTGAAATTTATAACACTATTAGTGCTAAAATGTGTATTCATTTAATGTGTAAGTATTTTGATGAAATATTGGAATTGACATTGCGTAAGATTTTTGCTGCGTGATTGTAAAAAATCACAAGGTTTTAGACATAATGTGTCGACATAATAATCTTCTGATAAACATCTGACAGGAAAACATCTCATTATGTCCATAATCGGCGCATCATATGCAGAATGAGCATGGAACATTTGATAATATCTCGGCACAGCTTTATACACGTACCAAATTCAAATTCTGATGAAGGCCTATATTTTAGTTGCCAACGTTGAACTACATTAATTCTTGCTTAAACTTGATATATTTTTATTTATATAATAATATGCATGAAATAAATATCTTTGAATAAATAATCTATTTGGTATATATTAGTAGTTAACATACGTAAACTCGTGCGTTTCTGGAGCATGCGTATTGCATATTATATTCCTGGCTAACACGTGCTGATATATATCTGTCTCTTATACACATCTAGATGTGTATAAGAGACAGATTTAATTTATTGCTAATAGCTTGATAGCTTAATTGATTTTTGTAAATTAATGAGCAATTCAATGGTTCTATTTATTTATTTATTTTAAATGAATGTTTTAAACGACATGTTTCGACGTTTCAAACGTCATCATCAGGCAATAGCGCTGTGCTACTGACGGCTTAAATACTGCCGGTCAGATGTAAAGTGAAAACAAGCAAATATTAAGGTAAGTCATGTATATAGAGTTCAGGAATGCTATGGTAAGTCATGTATATAGGAATTAGAATGAATTAGAATGAAAGAGTGATATTGTAATGAGTTGCTGGGTTGTTAAGTGACGGATTTCCCCAAGCAATGTAAAGGGCTTCTTTTATTTTAAGTTGTTGAGTGTTGGGGGCGGAGTCAAGAATAGTAAAACAGTCTGGATTAGATGTTATGACATTTAGAATTAAATAAGCAAAAAACATCATCAATATAACGTCGGTAAAAAAGAACAGGTGCATGAGTAAACGATTTGATCCAGGATTGTTCATGGTGTCCCATGAAAAGGTTAGCTAGGACGGGTCCCAATGGGGAACCCATTGATACTCCATCTATTTGGTCATAAAATTCATTATCAAAAAGAAAATGTGTTTTAGAGGTGCAAAACATGAATAGCTTCTTAAGGTCTTCCGTAGATAATTTACAATTGTTATTGTTTTTTAGGATATAATCAATAGCTAATGATATTGATTCGTTTAATGGGATGTTGATGAACAAGCTTTCAACATCGTACGAAACTATAAATTTAATAACGGTATCGATACTATTAATTTCTTTAACAAATGAAAACGTGTCATTAGCAATGTAAAAACTATTTATTTATTTTGTAGTCAAACTTTCTATAAGGTGTCATAAAAATAAATGAATAAAGAATTTGTGTAATGAAATTTTCAGACGGGACTCGAACCTGCGACCTTTCGCTGCCAAGGCGAGCATCATAACCATTAGACCACGGAGAGTTCATGTTTGAACAGATTCAAACATCGCCGAATACAATCCATTACACAATAGTTACGGCCAGAAAAAAATAATGGCATAAAATATAAATCAAGATAGCTGTTAACACTCTTAAATTTTATAAATTATCAACGAAAGATAAATAGAGTGTTGTTCGAATAAATGACATAATAATACATCGAGTAGCATAGCTCTCAACGAATGTATTTCTATTAATAAATTAATTAAGAAATTGTGTAATAAATTGCCTCCGACGGGACTCCAACCTGCGACCTCTCGCTGTCAAGGCGAATGTCATAACCATTAAACCACAAAGTCTTCATGGTTGAACAGATTCAAATACAGTCAGATACACTCCATTACACATAGGTACCACTAGAAACAAATAATGGCATATAATATAAATCAAGATAGCCGTTAACACTGTTAAATTATATATAAATCATCAACGAAAGGTAAATACAGTGTTCGAAAAAAAGGACAATACATCCTGTAGCATAGCTCTTAAGAAAAGTAGTCCTATAAATAAATAAATAATTTGTATAATAAAATGCATCCGACGCTGTTGAATTGCCTTGCATGAACACTGTGCCAAATAAAAAATATGTAAACCAAATTGTATATGCAAATTATTATACCTATAACATATATATTATAACAATAAAGTTATCTCCTTTAAGACTTTAAACTGATCACGTTGCATGAGACTCTTATCTACGATCAGCCATAGAAACAGCGCTTCTATCTTGGCCCTATCGGTTCCGTTCAAGCTTGTGATTGGTTGAAATTGAACGACGTGACGGCTTTAAAATAAAACTAAGGCCAATTTTATCATGGCTTTCGGCCTATCTTATAATGTTAAACAAGTTAACTGCGCTTTTATTCTGGGCACCTTTTGGCACTGTTTAAAGCTTGTGATTAGTTGGAATTGAAAAAAAAAAAGACAACGGCGTTTTCATTACGGCCCTGATGGCTAACCATACTCATTTTAATGCTTTAAACCTGCTTATACAGAATTGCAAGCCCTCCGACTGCCAAGGTATCCTTGAAAATAAAACGGACTACTACCACAAACAAGGCGGGCGACCTTCAGAATTCTGACACTTGATAGGGCGCCCCTACCTAATGGCAGTGTTTCTCTTTTCGTTCGTGTATGCAAAGTAAGGAGAGTCGGATTTGCTTACACCAAAATAGAGTTTTATTGTTCTAATATTTTATTCAATCAATCAGCTGCTTTATACCTTAAATGTTTTAAATATTTTATATTCCAATATGTGTCAGCATAATTTTTATAGGATTGCTATTTTTAATGTTTTAGTGTCTTTTCTTAACTTTGTACTAGACCTGTTTTAAAATTTACGATAAACATGCATTTGACCTATTTTCCCGTATTGGACAAATAAAGCGAATCTTGCGTCTTGAGTCTTGAATCCTCTTCCAAATATATTTCGTTATAATCTAGCCAAGGCTGTTAAAATTGTTCCAGCTATAATGATTACAGTTATTACTGCTAAAAGGATATAGTTTTTAAGCCCTGTTATCTCATGGAAGTAGAACACACCCCACAGTAGAGCAATCAAAGTGGGACCCTGTAAAAAATGATTCTAGCATTAAAACTTTGCACGTTACAAGTAGGTTTACAAATGCATTTCATTACTTCCTAACGACCACATATAGGCCTACCAAAATTAGCTATGTACACTTAATATCAAGTTTAGCTGCCTACAGTAGTTGCCTGTTATTGTAAACATTCTTAACTTGGAATATGGTAGGACAATGGACCTTCCAGAGTGTCTATCAAACAACTGACCAATCAGAACAGTCCCAGGAATGCTCGCTTGTCTTCTAACAAGCACACGTGTTGTCCCACAAAACGCACGTGTGCGTATGTTTTTACACTGTCGTTTTGTAGGACATTATTAGCAACAATAACCGGGGCGGGGCGGGGCTTAGGGGAAAGGTCCGTTTACTCTAATTACCTTGTCATTTGGATGGGACGTTAAATCGTTGGGCCCATAGCAGAACAAGCGAACAAAACGAACTCAGAGTACTACTTGAAAAGTATATATTGTTTTCTTGTGTGCTGAACATGGTAGATATGAGCACCTCTATATTAGCTTTATTTCATGATTATAAACCTATACACAGTTATTGCTTAAAAAATTCAAACTCACTTTACGTTCCTTTTGTAAGACTAACCAAAAGCCAATTTTTTATTTCATCATAGCAGGTGCAATGCATACAATATTATTATTATCTAAATTTATATTTTTGTATTCTTGTGTAAATAGCAGAACAAGCGAACAAAACGAACTCAGAGTACTACTTGAAAAGTATATATTGTTTTCTTGTGTGCTGAACATGGTAGATATGAGCACTGTGCTGCAGGGGGACCCGGAGCTTATATTTGTTTGACAAGGACTAGGTCTACTAACATTCTAACAGTTAAAACTGTTTTTACTTTGAATTTACTTTTAAATTGAATTTATTAGCTTACATCGAAGTCATAGTAATCCTAAATATCATAGCAGGTGCAATGCATACAATATTATTATTATCTAAATTTATATTTTTGTATTCTTGTGTAAATAGCAGAACAAGCGAACAAAACGAACTCAGAGTACTACTTGAAAAGTATATATTGTTTTCTTGTGTGCTGAACATGGTAGATATGAGCACTGTGCTGCAGGGGGACCCGGAGCTTATATTTGTTTGACAAGGACTAGGTCTACTAACATTCTAACAGTTAAAACTGTTTTTACTTTGAATTTACTTTTAAATTGAATTTATTAGCTTACATCGAAGTCATAGTAATCCTAAATATCATAGCAGGTGCAATGCATACAATATTATTATTATCTAAATTTATATTTTTGTATTCTTGTGTAAATAGCAGAACAAGCGAACAAAACGAACTCAGAGTACTACTTGAAAAGTATATATTGTTTTCTTGTGTGCTGAACATGGTAGATATGAGCACTGTGCTGCAGGGGGACCCGGAGCTTATATTTGTTTGACAAGGACTAGGTCTACTAACATTCTAACAGTTAAAACTGTTTTTACTTTGAATTTACTTTTAAATTGGATTTATTAGCTTACGTTGAAGTCATAGTTATCCTAAATATCATAGCAGGAATAATACATACAATATTATTATTATCTAAATTTATATTTTTGTATTCTTGTGTAAAGCGCCTTTAAACACGAATATTCATGAACAGGGCGCTATACAAATTTGGTAAATAAATAAATTGTGTTAGTAAGCCATACTTAGTAGCAGTAGCAGCAGTACCGGCAATAGAAGCAGAAGTGGCAGAAGCAGTTGTGCAGCAGTAGAAGTAACCGCTATTGCTACAGCAGTAGTATCAGTACCAGTAGCAGTTAACCAAACAACAGGGAACAAAATCCAACTCAGACTATATTACTTCAAACCGCGGTCCAGACCCAACTCCTCGGAATATAGTCCATGTTGAATCAAAGCTAAATAATAAAACGTTTGTTGCAGCACTGACATCAGAATGTTTGTAATGCAACAAGTTTCGAATGCAGTCTTAAAAAGTGTACACAAACATTATATTACTCTTATTTCAAGCGAAGACCAAAGTCAAACATAATGAAGAGAGATTGCCAGTTACCTATTGCAGTTTTCTTGGATTCATTTCCAGCACAGTCGGTGGGGCATCCCCGAAAGCTATATTCTACCTCTACCGTGCTCTTGTACTACCTGTACTTGAGTATGGAATTCCAGCCTGGTTACCTCATACTGCTACACATTCCGATAGTCCAAAGAAGGGCCACACGACTGGCACTGGGACAATTTAGAGGTGATATGGAATATATTGACAGATTATCTAAACTTCACTGGCCTCAACTTTCAACCCGAAGGCAATTTCTTTTGATTTCATTTTTTTGCAAGGTTCTTTTGGGTTATGTCGACTGTACAAGTATTTCTAACTCTATCCAAATCTTTTTTACCTCGCCACAGTGAAATTCTCTTCTTCAAACATCTTAAAGCTAATCATGATTTTCTCCACAAATCTGCAATTCACGCTTTCCCTCGTCTTTGGGAAGACCTTCCTAATGATCTTAAGAATACTCTCGTCCTTGATTCCCTTCCCATATTTATTTCTAGACTCAAATCACACTTATATACACAACATCCCTCATCTGAATAAAAATGATCTCATAACTGTAATAATCTTGTTGCTATGGTGGTTATTGTAATTGCAACTACTATAACAACAATAACAACAACAATAATCGTAATAATTATAATAATGATAATAATAATAATAATAATAATAATAATAATAATAATGATAATAATAATAACTATTATAATATTAATAATATGATAATGATGATGGTTATTATTTTTGTTATGATTGTTATAATGGAGATAATGGTAATTGTAGTTATAATGGTACATAATGGTGATAATAATAATAATAATAATAATAATAATATTAATAATAATAATTATAATAATAAATAATAAATAATAAATAATAAAATAATAATGGGAATTTTGCTGTAATGATGGTAATAATAACAATAGGTTTTGTAGAATAATTTAATTATTATTGTTATTACTGTACTTAAATGGTGATTGTGATGACCTTGTTTTTTGCTTTTAATGACTGTTTTTGCATTTATTCTGTTTTTTATTTATTTATTCTTTTTTTTAAATTTTTTTGCTTGCTTTTTGCTTGATGTTGTGATGTGTTTTCTATTATATTTTATCTTATATTTTAATGATGTTTTTTTTTTTTTATACTGGATGGGAG